ATATAATTTAAAATAAGTGTTGAGAGATAAAAAGGGTAAACTGTTTAACAGTTGACAACCTTCACACAGCTTTTCACTCTTTTCTTCTTTCCCTTTAACCCATTACTGTTTCTTGTTCCTTTTCCGGAAAGGCAGGCAACTGGTAAGGAGAAAGGGCACTGGCCTTACAGTGAGAGGCCCGAGTTCCAGCCCTTTCTCTTAGCTGGCTCTGTAGGGACAAGTCATGTCCCCTTTGGGGCCTAGGTTCAGTGGTTTCACTGCCTGCTACGCAAGTGCAAGGACCCGAATTTTACAGTACGGAAACAACAACAACAACAACAAAAAAACAGGAGAACTAAGCTAATTATTAATTTCTAAAGTCTGCTTTAAAAACCTATAGTTCTACTTTCATTCTACCCATTATTTGAGTCCCAGTGCCTTGATTTGGTTCTCACATCATTTCTGAACTTACAGAGTAGTCTCAAAACCTGCCTCCTTTCCTTCTATTTTTCCTTGTTATCAGCCCTAAAACTGTGAGTTAAACATTGTGAAAATCACACTGACTTTTGATGTCAGAGAGACTTGCATTCAAGTTCAAGCTCTGGCGCTTGTAAGTAATTACATCCCTAAAATGGTTATGTGGGAACTGTCTCACTTAGGACTTACAAAATGTACAAACAGCAAATACAGAGCCTGACACACTGGATTCTCAACAAATAATTAGGACCTTTCCTTATTTCCCAGAATCAAAACCTCTACACCTTCCCACCATCTACCAGTAAGATGCACAAGCCCCACGGAAGGCGCGCATGGGATTTTTAGAACCACACAGGCAAACTCTGAGTTAAATATTCTCACCCACCAGGCTCCCATGTGTCAGGAAAGTGCCAGCCTGCGATTCTGCCCCTTGTATTGTACCATGGGTAGGGCAGCCCCCATGACCATCTTCTGGAACTCTCAAAAGTAAACGGAGCAGCCTCCCGTAGGCCAAATCCACAGGTCAACGGAAAATGAAGACTGACATTGCTTCAAAAAGAAACCTGACAGCAAATTCAATCTCGCTTGGCCATTCACCTACAAAAAGCCACTCCCAATTCTCTGCAGAGCACTTAAATGTACAGGCAGCAAGCTAACCTTACACCACCAAGTATTGTAACTGGATTTTCAATCCTTAGAAACAAATGTTATGACCAAAAAACAAAAGTTCTCACATAATGGACACACACTGAGCTCTGTACAGTTACACGAACGCCTTTAGAAAAAGCGATGGCTTTCTTGGTTTCAAAACTGGGTCGAAACTAGAAGGGACAAGGGGAGGAGTGATGGGGACTGGCAACAAGAAGCACATTTCTTAAAGTGACCTAAGTACAGTTACTTGGCTATATAGGAATTTTTTTAAATTCTCAAAGCAGGAATAACATCAGCCTTTACTTCCACATTTACTGGGAAACAGAGGGCCACCTAGCGAGTGTATGAAAGTCTGGAAGCCAAGAAACCTCTCACAGAAACCTGAGGGTTTTTTTTTAAGTGCCACCTTCTTTCTCCAGCTACTTCAGCCCGAGCAAGTGCTGCAAAAGTGACGGTACAAGGACATAACATTACTCAGAACTCAGAAGGCTCTGCGTGATGAAGAATTATCCGGATTCATTTCTCTGGCTAAAAACACAAACCCACTTATTGGAGACCTGTGGTTAAGCCAAGCTTCTCTCTTGGACCCCGAAACGCACTCTCCAAACAATCTGACCGAAATTCCTTCCAGGAGCTACCATTTTTCTGCAAAATAACTAATCCCAAGCACTGTTACTTCTGGTTGGTCTTTTCACTTTATTTTTGTAAATGTGCTTTCTTCCTGCTCAGAACCGTAACTAAAGAGGCCTACAGAGCTACCAGCCTAGACCACCTTCTCCAGATTCCCCCTCACCCTTCATTTATTTCCCCGCCCCCTCCACGCATGTCACCTTCACTGTGGCTACAAACTCATTTCAGGCTTTCTCTACACCCTGACCCAAGTTAGGTCCCAGCTTCATCCTCCAATTCCAGTCCTTAGCACTGTCTGGTCCCTCCTCAGCTCCGATCCCTGCCCAGGCCTCTTCTCGGTACCTTCCCTCAGTCCAAGCCCCACTACTGCCTCACAACCAGACCTTATCACAGCAGCGCCTCCTCCCTCGCCTTTTACCAATTCCAGTCACTCCTCGCCCCTGATTCTTCATTTAGACCCTGCCTAAGGTCCTCTCCAACCCCTGACTTTAAAACCCCAACGACCGCAACAGTCCTCTCTCTGACCCCTAGCAAAGGCCGCCTCTCTGTCTGGCCCATCCTACTTTCCCCCTCTAAAGCTGGATCTCCCCCCACCTAGGCTCCACCGAAACCTGGCGCCAAACCCGGTGCGGCCCGGCCCGCGCACCGGCACCCTCTCCTGCCCTCCCAGCCCGGGCGCGCGTGCCCAGGCCCTCGCCATCGCGGGGGCGTCGCGGACCCCCGCCCACGGCGCCCGCGTGCTCGGCCCGGGGACCTCCGCGCACCGCCCGCGGGGTGCGCTCACCTCTGCGTCCACGACCTCGTGGTAAGCAGGCGGGGGGTCGAAGCCGCCCCCCGAGCCCACGCCGCGCGAGGGTCCGCCTTCGCCGCCGCCGTCGCCCCGCGGGCCGCCGCCTCCTCCCCGTCCGGGCCCGGGGCCGCCGCCGCTGTCCATGGGCTCGTAGCCGCCGTAGTCCAGGCCCGGCCGCTCGTTGGTGAGCAGCGCCACGGCCTCGTTAATGTCGTTCTTGGCCAGGCGCAGGGCCTTGCGGATGGCGGCGGGGTCCGAGAATCCCATGCACAGCAGCGTGGTCATGTGCTGCTCCTCCTCCGACTCCATGGCTCGGGGCTGCGGGCCGCGCCGGCCGGCGAGCGGCGGGGCTGCCGAGTCCCCGGCCGGGCCGGGTGTGGGCGCAGGCGCGAAGGGCCGGGGCGGTGGGGCGCTCAGGCGCGGCGGCGGCGCGGCCCAGCCCTGCGCGCCGCCATGTTGCCCTGCGCCACCTCCTCCTCCCCGCGGGGCCGCGCCGCCGCCGCCGGAAGCCGCTTCCGTGCGCGGGCCGCCGGGGCGCGGGCGGGGCGGCTCCCGACACTGGGCGGGGCGGAAGGGCGGCCCGGGCCGGGAAGGACCTGCGCGGTCAGCCCCGCTCGCCGCCGCAACAGGTCCCTTCGCGCGCGCCGGGCCACACAGAGGACCAGGTGGTGGCGGGCCCCTGCGACCCCGGGGGCCGGCGCCGTCTGCACCCGGTCCGAGGTGTCCCACTCCAGAAGAGTCGCCCGTGACCACCGCGCGACCCCAAGTTTACCCCAGGCACTCTCGACCTGGAGCCGTCAACCTCAGCAATACCTCAGTCGTCTGACGGGAACTCAAAGGTTGACTGACACGAATTGAGCTTCCCTGCCCCCACCAAACCTGACTGGACTTTACTAAAATCCCCGCAGTGTAAAGTCTGTATTTTCCAACCCGAACTCGAAACCCCAGTGCTCTCTGGAAAGCTCCCCGGACACGCAGCGCGCTACCCTCCTCCAGCCAGATGCACTCAAACTTCTGGACGTCGGCCCCTCCTGATACTGACCACCAGCCCACGTTGCTCCCTCAGTCTTTGGCTCATGGGGTGCACCACAACCCTGTTCCTATTCTCCAGCGTTCCTCGCCCCCTTTGAAAGGTCTACTTTTGCTTTCTCTTTCTGCTTGGCGTGTTGGCGTTCTGAGGCTATTAAGCCCTAGCCTTCGCTGTTTTGCCCCTTCTATGTCTTCCAACTCTTGCATCTTCTAGGCTCTTCCCCACCTTCTCCAAACTCCTGCTGCTTTTTCCCGGTCTCTCTGTTAACTTGCTAACTTCATTCATCTCTCAGAGCCTTCATCCTGGCTTGTTCCTCAACCTGAAGTCCACCAACTAGACACTCTCATCCTATCAAACCGTCTGTTTCCAGCCCAGCACTCACTAAGATTTCCATGTACCCCGTACCCCAAGCCTTAAATTATTGGCAGTAGCCAGGAATTTTCCTTCAATTTTTTCTACTAGTATCTTTCCCCCTGGACCATGAACCTTTCTTGCCTAATTACTTGCCACCATGTTTCTCAACGCCAGCATTTTAAAGGCTAAATTATAAAGATTAGGCCTCATATCCAGAGGAAGTAAAAGTCTCTTCATTTGTGAATGAAAATTACAAAAGAAATTCTTCCGTTTCTGAACATCAATATAAAAAGTAATCAGCTTGGGAAAAAATGCTTATAATTGGATTGGGTCCCAAAGTAGACGTTGAAAGAGTGATATAAACATCTAGTACCAGTGAAGTTTTCAGTGTCTGTATCTGGTGGACAAAGGAAAAAAGTAAGCTCGTTCTCTGTAAGCAGCCTGTCGTACAGCGCATATCATCATGCCATTGACCAAGAGCCAGGTTCTGTTCTTGGCACTGGTAATGTGAGAGGGAACAAAACAGACAAAGATTTACCGTGGCAAAACAAGAGCATTCACTTTTGCTCCATCTTTGAAGTGTTAACTCCGTGGCTAAATTATGAAAAGAGCTGCAAGGGGAGAGAAGAAGAAATTGACTCTAAAATTCGAGGTGAAACTGAGCGGTAATGAGCCTGGGGCCCCTATTCAGATGATACATCAAAAGACTCATCAACAGTGGCAGGTTTACAGAACTCTACTGAGGAAGCTGTGCTTGACTAGGAAGAGGAAGCAGAGAAGAACAAAGTCTGTGATAAAAAACTGGAAAGGAGCCACAAAAGGCTACAAAAAAACAAGAAAGGCCATTTTCGAACCAGATCCTGGTGTGACTGAAAAGCCAGTGTCATCTGAGGATGTAAGTAGTAAAATCACACTGTTCTGCATGTGGGAAAGCAAGTGAGCACTTTAAGTCCTATTGAATTGGGATAGCATGGGTGGGTACTAGGGAATGAATATTCATACATCTAATTTACATGTTATTTTTATTGCAGTAAAATCCAGAAAATGTTAAAAAGATTTAAAAATATTTTAAGTTACATTCGGTTTACATATATTTTTCTCTAGAAGGGTTCTAAAGAAAAAGAAAAAATATAGCTAGGTCTAGAAGTGTGATGGACTATTTTGAAGACAAGGCCTGAAAGTTTCTAATATTAATTAGTAATTTTAAAATTATTTATTGAATGTCTGTTTTGAGCCAGCCAGAGGACTAGGGAGACGTTTGTGAGCCAGACATGCACAGTTTCTGTCTGCCCTTTTGGAACTTCTTGTCTATAAAAGGAGATAGATAAATGATAATCATAAAGTATGATAGATGCTTTGATAGTGGAATTTTAGAGTGTAAGGGGAAAATTTCTTGCTTTTAGGTGGGGATGGTGGTAAATTACCAATCTAGGAAGTCTGGAAAGTTTCCCAGAGGAAATGACATTTAAACTATAAAGTGACCAAAAGTAGGAAAGCCAGGAAAAGGAATATGGGATGAGGGAAGAAGGTTCCAAAGGATAAGAATAACATGTCTAAAAGGTCTTATAGTGGGTGAGAGTAAAGCAATTCAGAGGAACCAAAAGCAGCCAGAGTAGGGCTGGAATGCATCCTTCTAGAGAGGCAAGAGTGAGAAAGGAAACTAGAAAGGTAAACATCAGATCCAAGAGGGCCACGTGAACTACGATGAAGAGTTTGCACTTCATACTGAAGGAATGGGAAGCCACTGAAACATTTATGCAGGGAAGTGAGGTGATGTTACTTAATTTTCATTTTGTTTTGGGGTTTTTTTGTTTTTTGTTTTGTTTTGTTTTGTTTTGAGAGAGCCTCACTATGTAGTTCAGGCTGGCCTTGAACTCACTATATACCCCAGGCTGGCCTCAAACTCACTGCGATCTTCCTGCCTCAGCCTCCCGAGTATTGGGATTACAGGCATGCACCACCACACCCAGCATGTTACTTAAATTTTAGAAAGGTCAGCCTAATTGCAGGGTGGAGAATGGTTTATAAGGGAGAAAGAGTGAAAGTTGAGAACCCAATTAGGAGACAAAACCAGTTAGCCTTCCTAGGTAGCCATTTTGAAATGAATAGTCACACAGTCAATTTTATAACATTTTCCTCTCCTGAAAAGAAACCCTGTAGATATTAGCTGTTACTCTTCTGTCCCCACCCACTCCCACCCCAAGCAACTATGAATGAATGGATGAATGCAATTTTTTGTGTGTGTGGCATTGAAGATTGCCAAGAGCATGATGGATGAGTTGCTACATCCCAGGCCTTTTAAAACTAATTAATTAATTAATTTTGAGTTACGATCTCACTCACTTGACCAAGCTGGCCTTGAACTTGTGATCCTCTTGTTTTAGCCTCCCCAGGCTGCCTTAGCCTCCCCAGGATTACAGGCCTGTGTCACCATGGCTGGCTCCTTTGCCCATTTTTGAATTGAGATACTTATCTTTCATATTCTAGATCCAAATCCCTTATTACAAATATGATTTGCAAATATTGTGTCTCTCTGTTTCTCTCTCTCTCTCTCATAGTAGTACTGGGGATTGAACCTAGGCATTAACACAGCACTGAACTTAATCTCCAGTCATTTTTATTTTGAGACAAGATCTTACTGAGTTGCTCAGGCTGGCCTCACACTTGCAATCCCCCTGCCTCAGCCTCCCAAATATCTAGGATTACATGCCCAGAGATTCCCTTTCTTGATAGTGTTTTTTGAGACACAAAGATTTTTAATTTTGATGAAGTCCAGTTTATATATTTTTTCTTTTACTGCTTGTGCTTTTGGTGTTATATCCAAGAAATCATTGCAAACTCCAAGGTCATGAAGCCCTTTGCTTATGTTTTCTTTTAAGAGTTTTACAGTCATAGATGTTTGATCTATTTTGGGTTCATTTTTGCATATGATGTAAGATAGGGTCTAATTTCACTTTGTGCATTTGACTATCCAGTTATCCCAGCAACATTAGTTGAAAAGACTTCTTTTCCAATTGAATCATCTCTGCACCTTTTTCAAACATTAAAAGGCATATGGATTTGCCTGGAATCCAATGCTATTCTCTGGAGAGGCTAGGTAGATAGATAGATAGATAGATAGATAGATAGATAGATAGATAATTTTTATGCCTGTACCACATTGTCTTAATTACTATTCCTTTGTAATAAGTTTTAAAATCTAGTGTGAATCCTCCAACTTTCTTCTTTTTCAAGTTGTTTTGACCATCCTGAATCCCTTACAGTTATATGTATTTTAGACACAGCTTGTCAGTCTCTATAAGGAAGTCAACTGTGATGTTTGTAGGTACTATCTGGAATTTCTATATAAATTTGGCAAGTATTGGCACCTTAACAACATTTTGATCCATGAACACCAGATATTGTTCCATTTATTTAGATATTTAATTTTTTTTATTTCAACAATCTTTTATGGTTTTCAGATACAATCTTTTTTTTTTTCTAAATTTATTCCTAAATATTTTACTCCATTTGATGTTTTCATAAGTGGAGTTGTTTTCTTAATTTTATCTTTGGATTGTTTTTTGCAACTGTAGAAAACACAATACAATTTTATATATTGATATTTTAACTGCAAACTTACTGAATTTATTCTAAGGATTTTAGTGGATTCCTTAGGATTTATATGCAAGGGGATCTTATCTGTGGATAGTTTTACTTCTTTCTCTCCAATGTGGATTCCTTTTATTTATTTTTCTTGCCTAATCACCCTGGTTAGAACTTCTCATGTAATGTTGAGCAAGGATCGTGAGAGCAACATCCTTTGTCTTGCTCATGATTTTAGGGGGAAGTCTCCAGTCATTTACCATTGAATATGATGTCAGCTGTGTGCTTTTCACTGATACTCTTTTGGTTTGGGTCTAGATGGCCCCCAAAGTCTCATGCGGTCATAGGTAGCTTTTTCAGAGGTGGCTGAATTTAGAGTATGAGATGCTGAGATTAAGGACACAGGATTACTAAATCAATACACTGATTGGTTTGGCACCACCCCAATCCCAGTAGTTTAGATAAGATAAAGGGGGCAGAAAGGCACTGTTAAAGTCCCATGTTGCTTTTGCTGTTTTCTGCTGCCGTGAACTGTTGCCCCTCTGCCATGTGCCACCCTGCCTTGCCGATTATGGACTGACACCTCTACAAACTGTAAGCTAAATAAAGCCTTTCCCCTTTAACTTTGGGTGTCCGATATTTTGTCTCAGCAACAAGAAAAGTAAGACAGATACTCAACTCTACCAAGTTGAGAGAAATGCCTTTTATTCCTTTATTCTTTCTTTTAGTATTTTTATCATGAAAATCATTGGGTTTTGTTAGATGTGTTTGCTTCATCTATTAGGATCATTTTTTTAAAAAAAAAATCTATGGATATGGCATATTGCATTAATTGATTTTCAGATGCTAAACCAACT